GGTGAAATACTCACGCAAGAGCCATTTATTCCATTCTGTTATTGGCTATATAGATAATAAGCACATTTCTAGATATTAGCTGCGCAACCCCCAAACCAAAATACATTGTACACATAGAAACATTTCAATGGCAGATAAAAACCAAGGGGCCCATCCATACACTGATAATGATTACCTATAAATTGAATTGCTTCCAAAATCGTGTTACTTCCTCCTGAGCTTAACCTTTCGTACTGAAAGTAGAACTTTGTATTTTGTTAATGTGGCTCTGTCACCTTTGTGTTTTTTGAATATTTGGGACTTACCTATAAGGAAATATAAAGTAGAACTAACATTCACCAGAACTGGGTTTTATTCAGAGCTGAATTAAGGTTGCCCAGGGCCGTAGGCAGAATGCCACAGATCTGTTTTGTGAGTACGTGTATGTGGGTAAGAGAGAGTTGTTGTTTTTGCTCCAGTCCTGCTTACCTTTATGCAAGGAGGGGCTGTTTTTCCATGTTGTTCAGTTGAGTGGTCTCTGGATTGGATTCCTGATGGTCCATTGGGAGAGTGTTGTGGTCTGCACCAATATTGGGTGCAGACCACTGTAAGAGCTCCACAGCTCAGTCAATGAATCAGCGCTGGCTGCTGTGCTCCGAGTTTGTGAGAAGTAAAGAGGTACTGCAAGGGGTCTCTTAAAGTGATCTGCACTCTCTCTTGGTGGAGACCACAACACTCCAATAAGCAGGTAAGGGGGCTCAGGGCTAGGCAGGGAAATCTTTTGATCTCCCGGCTGGGAGCGGGAGGGCTCTCTCATAGCCATAGCCAGAACTCTGACCCTAGGCCTTATGGGAAATCTGATTAAGGTTTCACTAAAAACTGAATGGACACTAATTGAGCAGCGAGTAAACCACCGGTTTTCGAACGCTGTGTGTGTGCTCCAAATCTCAACATTCTTCTGATCACAGCCTCGACCTGTACAGGTATTGGCGTATCTTACATAGTTACATAGTTACATAGCTGAAAAGAGACTTGCGTCCATCAAGTTCAGCCTTCCTCAGAAATGTTGTTTCTTTTGATATCAGATATCTGCTGATATCAATGTAGTGAAAACAGACTGAGCCCATAACCTTACAATAATATGGCGTTTACGGTGTCATTTTACTAAACTACGTGGGCCTGGACTGATTTTCTGTTGATTAACGTAGTACTGTCCAGAATTACTTGGCTCGTGCACAGCAATGTAATTACAAATATAACTGATTAAAGGCTTATAACCTCATAACAATCAAGAATCAGCTAAATCCCTCCCCCGCAAATTGTACTTCCCCAGTCAATCGTTCAATAGTTGCATCAACGTTGCCATAAATAATCTCTCCTTAGACACGGGCCAGCACACTTTGAGGCCTTTATAACCTGGTGCTGATGTTGCATAAATAGCTCGTGACAATATCTCGCTGAGTCAGTATCTCTGCTGTAAAAAGCATTCTGACAAAGCTCGGAACAACAGCATGAGTCAAACCCAGGTGCACCGTCAGTTGTGGTGGGAGAGTTAGATTTGTCAAGCAGTCTTAGAGTTTAGATTCTAATTCGTCATAGCAAAACACGCTTCCCACAACATTTCACAAGAGGCTCCGATCATGTGGTCTGAGTGCAAACCTATCTCTTTGCCTGAGGCACAGCTTAAATGAACACTATAGTCACCTAAATTACTTTAGCTAAATAAAACGGTTTTAGTGTATAGATCATTCCCCTGCAAATTCACTGCTCAATTCACTGTAATTTAGGAGTTAAATCACTTTGTTTCTGTTTATGCAGCCCTAGCCACACCTCCCCTGGCTATGATTGACAGAGCCTGCATGAAAAAAAAAACTGGTTTCACTTTCAAACAGATGTAATTTACCTTAAATAATAGTATCTCAATCTCTAAATTGAACTTTAATCACATGCAGGAGGCTCTTGCAGGGTCTAGCAAGCTATTAACATGGCAGGGGATACGAAAATCTTAATTAAACAGAACTTGCAATAAAGAAAGCCTAAATAGGGCTCTCTTTACAAGAAGTGTTTATGGAAGGCTGTGCAAGTCACATGCAGGGAGGTGTGACTAGGGTTCATAAACAAAGGGATTTAACTCCTAAATGGCAGAGGATTGAGTAGTGAGGCTGCAGGGGCATGTTCTATACACCAAAAATGCTTCATTAAGCTAAAGTTGTTCAGGTGACTATAGTGTCCCTTTAATGTACAGTGTACCTGCATGTTCTGTATAGCAGAAACACACTTTTCATGAACCGCATTGAATTTACGGCAGGTGCAATCACTCAATTTTTCTGAATCAACAAATATGGGTTCTTGCAGGGTTAACCCTGAACTGGTGTCAAAATTGAGTATTCACCAAAGGCAATTTAAAGGACAGTTTAAGGAATTCTTCTGCAATTTTGTGTCTTCTGTGTATCCGGAACAATTAGCACGGAAAATTCCAAATTCCATGCGAAGTGATTTGAAACTTCCAGAGGCACATTTGGTGATTTATGTTTACTTTTTGCAGACACCCTCCATGTTTGCCTCTGGACATGATTGAAAAACATTAACTTCTATTACAGTTGTGTGTTTGCCACCGGACCCCTGTAACTATTTATTAAACCCTCGCCATCCTACTCTCTTAGATAATCACAGCTCAAATTACAACACTTTATGAGTGAGGGCTAAGATTTTGATATCTTTGATTTATCCTATTTTGAATATTATCCCCTGATCAATTTCTGGGCTATTCCAACCTCTTTCAGGGACAATCATACAGGTTTAATTCAAAGCTCTTTCTGATCAAATGTGAGGGGATTTTGAAGGATAGGATCTGAGGATAGAAAATTTGCTGAGATAATCTCTTTATGTTGGAAATGTTGGTCCTCATTGGATATTGATTTATATTTTTTCCAGATAAACGGAAACCAGACCCATATTGGCCTCAAATGTAATATTTAATTAAAAAAATATTAAAATATATGCATAAACAAATATATAAATATATATATTTTTTGAAATATCAAAATATTGCATAATTTTAAAAGTTTAACCCAAAATATTAAATTGACTTTAGTTTATCTGGAAAGCCAGCAATATTAAATAGAGGCTATTCTTTTATAGCCAAATACACTGCAAATCATTAGCACAAATAGGACAACTGTCTGCCAATGTTTCTAGGCTAAAATCCATGTAGAATTGTCACACATCTACAGGTATTGCATAGAAATTATTTACAAAATGCAATAGGCAGTAGCTATAAAATGACAGTAAAAAGAAGTGGTTATGTTTGAAATCTTCTTTGCTCTGTGCAATAAAAGTCTTAAAAAACACAAGGCATGCTGATATCTCTGCCCTTTGTACATAACATGTTCTGTGAATACAGTATATAGAATATTCTAATCATACAATAAAGATGGTTGCAAAAACAGACCGACCATGTGGTAGATTCCAGACCCAAATATTTAAAGTTCGTTTAATTTAATAATTATTTAACTAATTGAATTAGTCCATTTTCAGAGTATTTCACTGTGTATATTGACATATAAAACGTGGAACAATGATGTTTAAACTGGTAGGTCTGACAATGCAAACAGTGCCCAGATTAAAGGGTTCTGTCTGTAACACCTGCTGTTAGATGTCTGGACTTCAAAAGAAACTTGAATTGAACACTACGCTCCCCAGTTCTAGTCACATGATCCCTTATGTAACAGGAGGCTCAACGATTCTCGGGATAAATATGTAAAAATGTCAAATCTCTGGAAAGAAATTTTCTCATTCCCTCACCTCTAAAGAAACTATTGAAGCATACTGGGGTTAGTATATTGCCCAGAGTCCTAACACCGCACACTCGTTCCTGCTCAGGCACTGGCGGAGAATAGGAAAGTTTTTTCAGAAAAAGAAAATTTATGGTAATTATAGAATTTTTTTAAAATTTATTCCGGATGAATCACAATGGCGGCATTTACTAACGAGTAATACCCAAACTAAACCAGGAATGGGAGAGAAGGATTCACACAAAGAATTGAGAAATCATTTAATAGGTAAAACTTGTTACATACTGTAGGATTGTAAGGATACTTTTCTAAATGGACATAAATAAGGTTCATTTCACAGATCACATGCACAGCGAGATATGAGAGCAGGGGATCGAATCATCTACTGCCAAGAAACGTCTGGACCATAATCACATTGGATTGCACAAACTAAGCAGCACAAGGGACAAACTGATAACAAGGCTAATATGATTAATCACCACTTCAGAATGACTGAAATATCTGGGTATAACACCAGTCAGCAGTTTGTGAGGGTGCTATTGAAGCCATAATAGGAAAGGAAGATTAAATGGGACATAAATGCAGAAACCAAACGAATTATATAGTGCACGATGTCAATAGGTCAATAGTTTTAGTTTTTTTGGTCTCAAATTATCTAGGAAAGCGCAATGGATGAATCGATTCTAACCAGAAGAAAATATTCAACAACATATTCTAGAAAACAGAAGCTGCCTGTTAAAGGGACACTATAGTCACCAAAACAAATTAATGAAGCAGTTTTGGTGTATAGATCATGCCCTACAGTCTGACTACTCAATTCTCTGCCATTTAGGAGTTAAAGGAACACTATGTCTGGAATACAAGCATATATTCCAGACATTATAGTCCCCGGCCCCCTGCTCTGTGTAGTGAAAAAGTTTTAAACGTATTGTTTCTCCTTAGTCACGCTGGTCTCGCTGTGTCTGGCCTCGCCTCCTTTGCTGAGATGATCAGAAGTGAGCTACTCACATTACTTTGCTGGTAATACCTCTAGCACTCAAGCAGTGAAATAAATAAAAAAAATTTACCTAAATTTTAAAGGCTACTTTCTTGACAGCCACTAAGAGCCACTATTTCAGCTGCACTGACCGAGTAAACCTCTGTCACATGACGCAGTAGCCCATAGGAATGCATTGAAGTCACTGCTTTTCCTATGACAAACATTGGATGCATGTGTAGCATGCAGATCTCCAGTGCTTCTCTGTGAGAAGTATTGATTGGACGATGCCTTCTCGCGGACGTTGCAGGTGAGGGAGAGGTAAGCAGCACCGACGGAGTCTCGATGCTAATTTTCCTTTTTGAGGGGCTGCACATGCATCCAATTCTTCTTACAGGATAGGAGCACTATAGAGTCAGGAACACAGGCTTGCATGACTAATGCTGCAGTGTTCCTTTAATTATTTCACAAGTCCAATATCGGAATAAAGGATCAAACATTGTAAGAAACTTGTAATATTTATAACAACTTACAGGCTGTATACGTAACCTATGACCTATTTCTATACAGCTGTATGTGCACTGTGTAACTCGTTCTTGTTACTCTCTAATTATAGAACTAAGTTGGTGAGCTCCCTCTTAAATAAGCCTACGCGTTGATTTGTCATTTAGCTCTTTTTTTATATTTTCATTTCCTTGTTTAAGTTAACCTGTTCATGGATACAGCGTAATGTACATGCACCTGCACACAAGCGGGTAATGTTAGCGTGCTAGTAATAGCAGATCTCTTCCTGTCCCTCTCTTCTTCGGGGCAGACGCACACAGTGGCTCTCTTATTCTGCTCAGTAGTTGGTGCAGTGACACACAGAGAGTGCAGTGTCTGCCTCCCGTGCCAATTACTTATTCACATCCACAGGGAAGGCACAGGATCCAGGAAATCGCTGTGTACAGTATAAATTATACATAGAAAGGTTAAATTATTCCGGTTTTATACAGCATATAATAAACTTTTATACGGAGGGGATTAAGGCAAAGGTTGGAGCAGAGAAGAAGTGGAAATTACAGACTGCATTCATACGGAGCACTCAGCACTGTATGGGAACGTGATAAGGATGAGTCATCAGGTTCACATAATAATTTATAGACTTACCTTGGAAATAGTCCCATGACCTATACGCCAAAATGGCTTCATTGAGCTGCGTTCTTTTGGTGCTTAGTGTATCCATTTAAAGTGATACAGTGTACGTCTCAAGCTTGAAGAGATCATATGTGTTAAAATGCTTTTTTATGGTTTTTATTAGGTATTTAATATTATAATAAAATAAAAATGCCAATAATTAAATGAACAATAACAACAAATTGGGAAGGGGAAACTTGGGGAAGTATCCATCCGAATTTACAATATTTTTATGCAATATAGATATGTCTATATTTATCGATGATAATAAAATAATTATAATATATCTATGTAAAAGGAATAAAACAAGTTTGTACTACTAATAATTTACAGTTTTAATATCTTGAATTATAAATGATAAGATTTTTTTACCTTGCTTTCCCACTGCCTCCAGAAATAATGAAGCTGATCCCATAATAAAGATGGCTGTGTAATAGCCATCTCATACGATTTGTTTTCTAACGCTAACTTTATTACATTGACGATAGAGGGTATAGCAGGGGGTTTCCAATATCTGGGTAGGTAGGATGTGGCGGCTATAAGAATATGTCCTATGATTACTGTCTACTTTATTAACAGATTCTGGAAATTGTTTAAAAAACCCGAGTTCCAATGTAAAGGTGGTAATATTTGGGTCAGCAGTCTTAATAAGTTTATGAACATCACTCCAGAATCTAGCGAGTTTACGGCAATACCACCAAATGTGTGACATGTTACCCATCTCATCACACTCCCTCCAACATCTGTCTGAGACTTTAGGATTCATTTTGTGAAGGCATGATGGAACCAGGTACCAACGATAGAGAATCTTTAAATGATTCTCATGATGACTAGCACACTGCGGGATACCTCTCAAGGTGAGAATAAAACTGTTTTTATGTCAATGAGCTTGTGTGTGTCAGTGAGATTGTTTGTCTACGACGCTGTGTATCAATGAGCTTGTGTGTGTCAGTGAGATTGTCTGAGTCTGCATGTGAGTATGCTTACTGTATAATTAAACGTTTTACTCGGAAAGGACCAATATTTTATATTAGAAAAAGCAATATATATATATATATATATATATATATATGTCATCTGGGGTGGCAAGACATAGCCTTACATATCACATGCGACAATATATGGCACAATGACTTATGGGGCTGGCATAGATTTTTTTTTTCCAGGGCTTCTTTGTATCCCTAGCCCGGCCCTGGTTGTACACAAGATGCATTTTTAGGGGGGGCGGGTCCTGACTACGGAGCAGACTGGTCGCACTAAACGAGAGCTCCAAGCAGGAACCTGCAAATAAGCGACATATACAGGACATAAGACGCCAAAACCTCTCAAATTAGAGCAGCAGAGCCTCAGTGTTACCCCGAGACTCAAGTGGGTGGATTGCCGTGCTCGGAGGGGCACTCTAAAACCGACTGCAAGTTGCGGCCTACCAGCTGATGCATGCGTGGGAGAGGCGGACGACCTCCCTGCGAAATATCCTGCAGATATAACGCACTGTAACATAGTCAAAACCAAGATGGCGACTGTGGTGCTGACTACGACGACACACGGCCTGCTGGAAAGCTACGACCAGCGGCTGGATGCAATCTTCAGCAAATTCTGGCAGAAGCTGTGGAGCAGAGAGGCACCAGGTAAGGAGAAGCGGAATCAAACCATGAAGCGACGGAACTCGCCTCCCGGCCATCTGCACCAAGAGGCTAGTAGGCCTCGGAGCCCTCAGCCAGCCTGCAGCCCACGGAAGCCAGGGGACAAGAGGGCCAGCTTGAAAGCAGTGTCCTGTCCTGAGTCGCCTAGTATTCGCTACTGCCTTTCAGGGCCGAGAGCCCACAGGGGGACAACCTGGGTGCATGACCCACATCCTAGGCAGGAGCGACCTCGAGCACGAGCGGTGAAAGCACCTTACCGAGTCTTAGCTTACGGTAGCATGGGAAACCGGAGCAGTGGGATCCACACTGAGGCTCTTGAGATGGCCTGGGGCCGGCGGAGCGAACAAGCTGGGACTGCCCAGGAACTGTATACATACTTGACTCATATGGTCAGCACAGGTATTGGGTAAAAAACAGCCAGGGAAGGGAGAGACGCAAGCTAAATACTTGCCACAAAGCAGCCGCATGCCACCCTCTCTCATGGAGACACATCACCCTGGCTCTCAGCAATCTGTAAATTTAAATAGCTTGTTAAAGCTGGTTTACTTCACTTTATTTTATTTGACTTGTATGTTAGGCTTAGCATACTTATTCTAGGTGGACACGCATAACATAGTGATGTTATGAAACTAAACTAATTACCAGGCCAATAGCCTTACATGTCATTCGAATATTAGCCTAGACTTGCACGCAGGGCCGGCACCTCCTATAAGGCGAACTTGGCAGCCGCCTAGGGCGCCATATAGGAGGGGGCGCCCTGCGCCCCCATCGCTGGCCCTTTAAATGCCGCAGCCGCCTGAGCGCTCTATAGAGAGCGCTCAGACGGCTGCTGCACTGCCTCACCTCCCCTGCCCTGTAGCGTGGCCGAGCTCCGGGTGGCGGACCGGATAGGAGCTCGGCCACGCTACAGGGCAGGGGAGGTGAGGAGAAAAAGATGGTAGGGGGAGGAGAAGGATACTGGGGGAGGGGGAAGAAGATTATAGGGGGGCAAGGGGAGAGGGAGAAGGATACTGGGGAGAGGAGAAGAAGGATACTGGGGAGAAGACTATAGGGGAAGGGGGAGAGGGAGTAGTTGAAGGATACTGGGGGAGGAGGAGAAGGATACTGGGGGGAGAAGAAGGATACTGGGGGAGAAGATTATAGGAGGGGAAGGGGAGAGGAGAAGCATACTGGGGGAAGGGGAGAGAGGAGAAGGATACTGGGGGGAGAAGATTATAAGGGGGGGAAGGGGGAGAGGAGGAAGGATAACAGGGGGAGGAGAAGGATACTGGGGGGAAGATTATAGGGGGGGCAGGGGGAGAGGAGAGAAGGATACTGGGGAGGGGGGGAGAAGATTACTGGGAAGAAGATTACAGGGGGAGGGGGGGGAAGAAGATTACAGGGGAGCGGAGAAAAATTACAGGAGTGGGAGGGTGGAGTGAGAAGAGATTACAGGAAGGAGGGGGGTGAGAAGATTACAGGGGGAGTGGAGAAGATTGGTGGGAAGGGGAGTAGAAGAGAAGTGACATTGAGGGAGAAGAAGAGATTATAGAGAGGGAAGGTGAGAAGAAGAGAAAAAATTACAGCAGTGGCGGTATCAGGAGGTATAAAGAAGAGAAGATTACAGGGAGGGGGGAGAAGAAGAGAAGATTACGGGGAGGTGAAGAGATTACAGGGACGGGGAGAAAGAAGGGAGAACACAGGAGAGGGAAGAAGTGGAGAACACAGGGAGGGGGGAATAAGAGGAGAACACGGGGGTGGGAGATGAGAACACAGGGGGGGGTTGAGGAGAAAATAGGGTAGGGAGAGACCACTAAAGGGGAGGAGGTTAAGGAGAGACCGCTAAGGGAGGGGGGTGGAGGATAGACCACTAGGGGAGGGTGGGGGGAGAGGAGAGACCACTAATGGAAAGGGGGGCAGAAGAGAGCAGAGACCACTAACGGGGAGACGAGAGACCACTAATGGAAAGCCGGGGATAAAAGGAGACCACTAAGGGAGGTAGAGGGGAGAGGAGAGGAGAGACCACTAAGGGGCAGGGGAGATCTCTAAGGGATGGAAGGGAGAGCTCTATAGGACAGGGGGCAGGACAGGGAGCTCTTTCACACCCCACGCACACACACACACACACACACACACACAGAAACACAACATGCTTCCCTTACACACAGAGAAACAAATAATGCAACCCTTACACATAAAGACAATACATCCTTTGCACATATACACAGAAACGCACAATGCATCTCTTACACACACATGCAAACACACACTGCTTCTCTTACACACACAGAAACACAATGCATCTCTTACACACACTCAACGCACCCCTTACAGACACACACACTGCATCCCTTACATACACAGAAACACACTGCATCCCTTACATACACAGAAACACACTTTGCATCCCTTATGCATACAAACACAGATTCACACAATGCATCCCTTACACACAACAAGAAACACACAATACATCCCTTATACACAAACACTCAATGCTTTCTATCCCTTACACAAAAACACACTGCTTCCACTACATACACACTGCATCACCTACACAAACTGGTATCCCTATACACTACATTCCATAAGCACACACATTAGATCCTCTACAGTAACACATAACACATCCCCTACACATTCCACTCCCTGTGAGCGAACTCATGGGTGGAACATGTAGGTGGACTTATGGGTGGGCTTTATGGGCATACTCACCGTCAGGCCCTGGGGCC